TATACTTCCGTTAATCCCTCGACTGAACATTTTTAATTCTTTAGTCCGTGACCTACGTAGGTATATCGTTGTCAACAGGGAAAGTAGTTGCTTTGTATTATTTTATCTTGTTTCTTAACTACTCTAGTAATAAATATCTTATACTAATTCTCGCACAATATATTTTGGAACATACCAAGACATTTGTGATGTTCCCTTGGTGTTAGTCGAAAAGAGCTCGGCAGCTGAACACCTTGCGTCGTCTTCGCACTCACTTGCTCCAGTGGCCACCGGTTCTTTTCTAAGCCGTCACGATCGCATTGTACCCAATGCCAAAAGCATTGGTGTAATCAGCTCTGCAGTTACGAGGAGGGCGGCTGCGGCAGCAGCTGCCGCTGCTAATTCAGCGCATATTGGAGCTTCTGGCATCACTAGTGTCACTCCCCCACAAACGCCTCTTGTGCCTGCCCTCCGTCTTGTGATCAAATCGGCTTCAGCAATAGCAGCTCGAAGTGCGCCTTCAACCCCGCAGGCTTCTAGTCGGCCCTTTTCTTCCGGCGCTCAAACGTCGATTTCTGATTCTCAAGCAGAAAGCATATCAATCACACGAGATGCGCTTGATGATTTTATCGTTAATACTGCTCATATCAAAGGCGGTTATAGCGCAGCCCCCATTAACAAAAAAGTTTCCAATGGAATTGGATTTGGTTCTAGAGCTAAAGAGACAAGTGGTGGCCTTGGTTCTAAACGCGACCTCGTTGTGCAAATAGTCACTTATACCGGCAGTGAACCGTCGAGATCGACGGGATCCGAGGACATGCGTATATCGGCAGGGCCTCGAATTGATGAACTGAGGCCTGAGTGTTGCGCTTCATCAACTATTCCTACAATGCTAGTTAAACGAGAGCCTATTGATGTATTGATTAATCACATGACAACTCAGGATTGTGAAAGACCAACCACACGACGACAGAACAACCCACGGCGTGAAGTGGCTTCAGGTTCACTACCGACTAAACCG